CCGGCGCCACTACCGGCCGGGACCAGGAGCAGCGCCGCCGGGTGCGCAGCATGGGAGAGGGGGAGGGGGGCGGTGCGCGTGTGTGTATGCATGGGCTGGATGGGTGTGTGCATGCACCTGGGGGTGCATGGGGGGGGTGCATGGGCGTAGGGAGTAGATAGGGGGGGGTGTCTGTGTGCACGTGTGTATGGGCGTGTGTGCAAGGGCCGGATGGGTGTGTGCATGCAGGGATTATATGTGCATGTGTGAGGGTTGGATAGGTGTGTGTATGTGTGGCTGGGTGCGTGTGCACGTGTGTATGGATGGGCGTGTGTATGTGTGGATGGGTGCAGGGATTGTATGTGCATGTGTGTGTGTAAGGGCTGAATGGGTGTGTGTATGTGTGGGTGGGCGCGTGTACACATGTGTGTGTGTGGATGGGTGTGTGCATGTGTGGGTGTGTGCGTGTGTGGAGGGACTAGATGGAGGGCATGTGTGTGGGGGGGGTGGACAGGTGTGTGTGCAGGGGTGTATGTGTAGATCGGGGTCTCTAGGAGGGGTGTGTCGGAGATCACAAGGAGACGGGGGGAGACCCGCCCCCAAGGGATCGATCAGCAGCTGCATGTGGCCGGGCCGAGGGCGGGGGTGGGTGCCAGCCGGCCCCGCTCCCCCCCACCCCGGGAGCGCCCCTGGGGCGCGGCCCACGCCTGCACCGAGACCCCGAGGGAGCCAGGGGGCCGGGCCCGCGGGAGAGGCCGAGGAAACGGCAGCGCCGGCGGGGCAGGCAGCGGTGCCAGCGGCTGCGCCTGGAGAGCGGCCCCGGAGCTTCCTTCCTCGGGGCCTGCAGCTCCCGGGCCCGGGTCGCTGCCCGCCCGCACGCGCCCTCACCCCCTGCAGAGAGGCACCAAAAACCCCGTCCCTCCGGGCGAGATAAGTGGGAGATAAGGGGCCCGGCCTGAAGATAAGGGCTCGCGGGGAGCTCCCCAGGGAAACCCTCGGGGGATCGGGAGGGACCGGGGAAAGAAGGAGCAGCAAAAGCAGCGCTCAAACCTCTTGCGATCACTTCTCATGGGGGTCCCGGCGTCGGGGCGCGGAGCCTGTAATCCAGCGGGGAGGCGAGCGCGGGCAGCCCGAGTCCGGGGCTCCCGCCGGCTGCTGATGTATAAGAAGGAGAGAGGAGGCGCCTCGAGCCGCCCGGCCGGAAAGCTGCGCGCAGCAAGCCCTGATTGGATTCAGCCGGCCCTAAACAAACACGGCGCGCCGGACAGTGCCGGCTCCCCTGGGGCAAGGGCGTGCGGCTCCCTGCCGGCCCGGCCGCGGCCCCATGCGGAGCGGGGCCGGCTTCGCAAGCTGGACACCCGCCCGCGGACCAGGGATCAACCCCCCGCCCCCGACACCCCTTCCCCGAGGATCGTTCGTCTGTCTTGTCCACCAGCCCCCCCGCCCACCGCCCACCGCGCCCACGTGCCTCTCTCCAGAGCCACCTCCCGCTCGGAGTTGCCCCCGGGCCCTTCTTCCGCGCCTCTGCCCGGGCGGGACCCGAGCGCGCGGCTTCCCCCGCACCCCCAGCCCCTGCTCCCAGGTGCCTCCCCACCTGGACTGAAAGCAAGTGCGCTGGGAAGCAAAGCGCTGTGTCCCCGGGAATCTTAACAACTGGGACATACACGCACACACCTATAGATATACACATCGATGTATAGCTATAACTAGATATATGCACACAAAATCATACATATATAAGCTGTAGATATATAAACGTGTTCTATCTAGCTATCCACTTCTATATATGTATGTATGTACCTATCTCTCTCTCTCCACTTCTATATATGTATGTATGCAATTTATCTTGTTTCTATGATCTATCTATCTATCTATCTATCTATCTTTCGAGCCCGGGCGGGGCAGAGCCCTGTGAGAAGCTGGGAGAGCACTGAGATAGATAGATAGATAGATAGCTTTTAACTAACCCACCAGTCCAGTCTGTCAAATGGGGAAGCAAGATCCGAGCTTTTTTGCTATACCTCCCAAAAGTTGCGGCACCGCCCCCCACCCCTGTTTCCTCGCCCCCACCCCCGCACACCCCGGGGTGGGGAGCCGCAGCCTCCCGGCCCCAGGCGCCCCGCGCTCGGCGGCTCTGCACGGCTAGCCCTTCTCAAGCCTCACTTCCAGTCGGCCCGTGCAGCTCTTTTGCTGGCCTGTTTGGCTTCCACCGGCGTGAAACAAGGAGGCCAGCAACCTCCGAAAAGCCCCTCTTTGTACCTTTAAAATCCGAGCCAGGCTCCTTCTCGCCCTGCAGAAGGCTCCAGGTGAAGCCCGAGCTCATCAGTCTCCGGGACTCTCCGCTTCCGTCTTTTTCCCTTTCTGATCCCCCCTCCACCTCCTGCCCCCCTTATCTCCGCTGTGTACAAGCCGACCCGGCACTTAGCAGGAAAGTGACTGGAAATTAAAATAACTCCGTTCCCCAGAGGTTATCAGCTGGATATCTGTCATCATCAGCTTGTACAGAGGGAGACCCGGCTGTAACAGGGGCTGGCTGAAGCCTGTCTTGCTCCCTGCAGCCGCCAGAAATTATTCCTTCTGACAGACACAATTATAAAAAAACACAGCCCCCCAAACCCGCTGGCCAGGGAGCGGTGGCCCCGGGGCGGGCTGCGGCTGCTGCCCAGGTAAGGCGCGCGGGCCGGGCAGGCTGCGGGCCGGGGGCGGGAGGGGGCTGCTTTGCGCCGCGCCCGCGGTGCGTTTGGTGGCATTCGCTGACCGGGGAGCTCAAGGGGGGGTTGCGGAGGAGTGGTTTCTCCAGCGAGCGGGAAGCGATTTTACCCCACGCTCCGCTGACCCAGGGTGCCCTCGTGCCGGAGTCCGGCCGGCAGAAGCGGCGACCGAGGAAGCAGTCCCCCAACAGTGTGTGGAGGGCAGCCCTCCGCGCCTGCCTCGGCTCTGCGCGGCTCATCCCGGGGGCTCGGCTCTGGCTCTGGCGGGAGGGTCGCAAGAAGAGCTGACCCTCGCGAGGGACTTGGGGCCAGGCCGGAGCGGGGCAGGATTTCTGCTAACGCGCGTGAGAACAACTTCGGGTGCAGACAGACGTGATGCTCTGAGACGCGCGGTTTTGCCCGATCCACTTTGCTGGAGCCGCGGGGCCCTCGCCTCGCGCATGGCATGATACGCCTGGCGGGGCAAGATGCCCCGTGGCGGCGGAGCTAAGGGACCCGGACACACCCGCCTGGCACGGATCTCGCCCCAAGGGCCCAGGGGCGACCTGCCTGATCCCCTCCCAGTGCGACCCCGCGGATGAGGCTGTTTCCCTCGCAGCC